TACACTGCCGATTCGCTCCCCCACCCCGCCGTGGGGGGAGAGTGAGTGAGTGGCTGTGTGGTGCTGAGTTGCCGGCTGGGGTTAAACCACGACAAAGGGTTACCTTGCCTTTTCTCCAAAAGAACATCTCCATCATACAAGGGTTGTTTGAAGAAACTACTCAGAGGATGTGGTTCCTCTGTCTCAGCTCTACTCGTCAAAAATTTGCAAAATGGAATCAACAGAGAGAAGTGCTTGTCTCTGAATTTCCAATTAACACCCCACAAGTGCTTGGATAGCTGCTTCTCTTAAAGCTTTCGTGTTTGTTCACACTTCCAGGGTAGACATCAGTGTAGAGAGTTATTATAGGCCATTTTACTTGTAACTCTGGTAACATGTCTGTTCCATAACTTAAAGCAAGGCTAGAACTATATGGAGAATGAAAATGCTTCCAGAACTTTGAGTTTTCTAGAGACATTTTAATCCCAGTTCAAGAAAACTTCAATATTAAAGTGTTCTGCAAAATGAAAAATATCTAGTATCAGATGGATCAATTCTTTTCCAATTTAGATTTTTTACACATCTCACATATGTGTGTATGAAACACAAAAATCAAAGTAAAAAGCCATTTCAAAAAGGAAAGTATAAGGCTTTCATTTAAAGATGTCAAAATGAGCTATTTTGACATTGCCAGAGCCTTTCATCCTGGTTTTTCCTCACGCAAATGGAATTTCAGTAAAAAAGACAAGACTTCACAAGGCGTTTAAAGAGAGCTACACTATTTTAACAAAAACATGTTCTGCTTCTGGTTTGATTATCAACTGTAATAAAAAAAAAAAGAAGGTTTTGTTTTTGTTAAAAAAAATTGAGACTCTTAGGTAATAATAAGATACAGCAGCACTCAGTTAACTGGCATAGAGTGTATAATAACATCTACTTCAGACTTTAGCTCTCAAACAGTCATTTATATTATCCATCAGTCACTGATTTTCCACATACAAAAGATAAATCCTCTTGACATTCTTCAGCTCTGGTAGGTAGCAAACAAATGTGAGTATGAATTTTTAAAGACATTTTTAATAAGAAAAAATTTCTACTGCTGAGATTAGATGCTTCACTATACTTCTTTTTTTTTCAGTTGATTTTACTGGAATTTTGCAATCTATTTATAGTAACACATGTAGCTTATTCCACTGAATTTGATGGAACTATGAGAGTAGCCTGCATATTTGAAGGATAGGGATTTTAATGATTGAAGGACTTCAATGCATTTGCTCTAGCAGGCAATTATCCTTCATGAAAACTGTTTTCCAGTTAGAGTTAAAACCAGCTCCCTGGTAATAGCCACCTTCTTGTACAGTGATTTAGAAACACAACTAATTGGCAAACTTGGCATCATGCTATATTAAGTAAGTAATCTGCTTTATCTTATTAGGTCTGTTATCATACCCGACTTCCAAATTTGATTTGGAGATATGAAGGACATGAAGATCAGCTATAGGACCCACTTGCCCAATTGTGAAAATAATCAACAGAAAAAGTCTCTTTTCCCCTGCCATGAAACATCTCATTGAATACATGACACTTTGCTGATGTAATTGACGTTAAACAGCACATTAGACTACTATAATTATAGGGATCTCACTACATCAAAACGTATCTTAATGATTAGTCTTATTATGTAGGCTTTGTTCCATATATTAATTTTCTTATCAATGAGAAACAAAATGAAAAAAACCACCAGTGCTCAAAAGCCAACTTCTGGAAACTCCTGTTAATAAGAAGGAGAGGCAGATATTAATATCATTTCTTCAGACAGTAAAAATGTTCTTCAGATTGAAACCTAGTTCATCCCATACAGTTAAAAAAACAAAAAAGGGGTTCAACTCTAAACCAGATATTTCTGGAAAAAAAATGAAACTAGTCATCTATTGAAAGGTTAATAAAAAGCAGGAAGGACATCTAAACCTTTTTTTGCCAATTCCAGTGTTTTTTCTGCTTTTAATGGGTACTAAGTAAGCAGGTTTTAAAGGGCACAGAAGAAATATCAGCATAGTTTCTTCTACGTCATAAGTGATCTTTCATGGCTATTGAATCAAAGAAAATGTTCACTCTCACATAGGTGTGAGATACAGGCAAGACTAAATTACAAGTAAAAGAGTACTCCAGTAAAAATGTTCTGAGATCATCTCCAAGTTAGGCCAAAATATAAACTCTATCTAATTTCTTACATGAAAATCTAAGATGTGGAATAATAAGTTAAGATGAGGGCAACACAGTAATTTTTTTCTTAGGCTTCCCTGTTAATCTTCCTGCACATAAAATATTCATTTCCAATATTTTCTCATACTTCCACTGATCTTTTTTCTGCAGCAGTGATGGTAAACTTTGTTGGGTCTGGTGCCAAGTTTATTTTAAAAAGCAGTGTAACTTTCTTCAGCGATTCCCATCCAAATCCCTGCTGATGCCAAATCTGGCACCAGTTCTCCACAGCTTTTCCACACTAAACAGCTACTGAACTCTGAAAATATTTAGATATTAGTGAAAGACGTGTTTATCCACTGCGATGCTGCTTCTACTTCTTAAATATCCATGTCTTTCCCAAAACACACCAACTGACTTGCTGGTGACCACCCCTTCCATCTACCGGCAGAAAAGCACCACTGCCGAGCACAGGGGACCGGAGGCTGGGGGACCCCCCCTTCATCTCCCGGCAGAAAAGCACCACTGCCGAGCACAGAGGACCGGAGGCTGGGCTCCCAGCCTGCACCCTGCACCCTGCACCACCTCTGATTTGGTGGAAACCGTAGTTACCTCTTCTTTGCAAGCATGGAGGAAAGGAGAGGCTTTTACAGAAGTCTATCCTCCTCCTCCCTTCTTCTCCTTTTCTCCCATTTCCACCTCTAAAAAGAAGGCATCTCATTGCTGAGGAGCCCAATGACTCAAGGGTGGCTCAATACATGTATATACTCCATGCTTTGATCGGGACGGGTGAAATGCAGTGGTCTGGACTTGTTCATGTTAGATCCTGACTGCCAGCCACATCATGCTGAAGGTGAGGGAGGACCTGGCTTGGGACCTGACTGTGCATCAGGAGCTGGCAGCTGTGTTTTCCCTTTCCTTCTGCAGAAGCAGAGAGGGAAAGCGAAAAGGCGTTGTGTCATCTGAGAAAGCCTCTGTGTCATCTCTAGCTGGGAACAGTGTCCTCTGCCTGCTGCCAATGTGCTGAAAACTGGCCCTAGGGATAAAGATTGCAGGAGAGGTAATCTATTGGCAGCATGTCCTCAGTCAGGCCTTTGGAGAAATAGCTCAGAGGGCAAAGGCAGTTCCCTAAACTCTTCTGTCCACAGGGACTGCCCCTGCTCTTTCCAGAGCTGACACTGGTTGGGGCGCGCCGGGAAGCAGGGAGGGCAGAGCATGAGCCTCCCGGGTCTTTCTGCAGAGAATGGCCACGATTTAATGAAGAAGTGCAAATGGATGCACGACTGGAAAGAGGTGAGGGGCACAAGAGATTTAATGCGCAGGTCTGTGCATGACCTGCAGCCACCTTGGAGATGTAACGCAGCCTCCACATAGCAACGAGCTGGGGAAGGCAGCCCCTCTCCAACTTCTGCTTAGAGGTTTGAGTGCCTTTTATTGTGCACATAAGGGAATCAGCCACCTGCCTTATAACAGTGGTATCTTGCAGGTGCCTTGCCTGGGGACAGCATCTATCTACAAAACACATTAGAAAAATGTCAGTTTGGGATGCATCACTCACCTTTTTAAATCATTGAACAATAATCAGCAATAATTCAATGGCTGTTTTTGACAGTTTCCTGGAATTATTGTATTGTATTATAGATATATATTATAATTTAGTGCATGGACACATTTTTATATATATAATGTATGCGCACACACACGTTAGCACCCTTGTTAAAAATACATACAGCCTTTTTATTTAAAAAGGATGGAGAGTATAATCAAATGTCAGACCCTGAAAAACCCACATGCCGACGGAATGCTGTGTAATCCGTGATCACTGTTCTGTGGCAGGTGACTTTGAGGGGCTGCCAGAGGAATCTCACGACGTTGAATAAAGCTGACGGTGCAATTTAAGAGTTTCCTACCTAGGGAGGGAGTTCAATTTGGATTTTGAATTGCTTACTTGAAGTGCAGAGACTCCAACACACAGAATTTTTGTTGTTGTTCTGATTTCTTTTACTCCCTATTTTGCATTGCAAATCTTTTGTTTAGCATTGGTAGCAAGGCTTACTAACAGACAGCCCTTGTGGACTCAGCCCACTCGCACGTCAACCTGGTGAGCTGGCTAGCAGATGAAGGCACTGTCTTCTCCAGAAACAGCAGCCAGGTTGAAGCTGACTTTTCCTCCAAGCTTTTTGTGCTTCTCTTGAATTAGCTCTAGCTGCCAGGCTAGCTCTGAATCAGGATGCAGAGACTCCCAACCTGACAACCAAGCAGAAGAGGGCCCCCTCACCTCCTCTCCTCACATCCCCAACCAACTCTTTTATTGATCTCTTTTCTGTTGAGAGGCCACCACCAGTTGGGTGTAGCTCCTTCTTCCAGATACAAGCCTGTGCGAATGTCTTGGGCATCGTCCTGCCCTTGCTGCAGGGACAGGACCCCAGCGTTCTCACCTCTTATGGAAAAAAATTGCGTGCTGGATTTATATTTTCCTTTTCGACCAAGCAAGTACCTGGAATGCATTACTCCAATCTGCAATTTATATTTAAACCTTTTTTTTTTATGGATACTCAGAAAATATCAGATGTCAGTCTTCAGCAGCTTAATCAAACAATGCATTTTACTGCTTTCCCCTGGACTTTGAACGTCTACTTGTTAGAGCTTATTTGTGCTATGACAATTTTCTATTTTTTACATCAAGAATGTATCGCTTCAGTAATTAATGACTAGACTGTGGTAGTCTTCGTTTATGATGAGTAAGTCCTTACCTCATGGACTGTTTCAATACTTTTAGAATAAAGAAATGCTCAATATGGAAATTCTTCATTCTCCTGAAATGAACAGCAAAATATCCATCTATTTCAAGAGGTGGGAGCAAAATATCCATCTTGACAAAAAAGTACGATATTCTGGTGCTAAGATATAAGAAGATATTTAATGGTAAAATATTTAAAGTGTATGATTACCTAAATCATATCCTGGTGACTTCTAATGAAGGAGAACTAAAATTTTACTAAAAGCGGAAAATTGGGAATCACTGTAAGGCATAGTTTGATATATTTTTTTTTGAGTGGGATGTGTCCCGTCTCTAAAGAAATTATGTCTAGTGCTTGCCAGAGGTTCTCTCTAGCTCTCATGGCAGCAAAAATGTCAGCTACTAAAAAGGCGCCCGCATCAGCAGAAGGAGGATACATTGCAGGATCCATGACACACACAGTTTTGTGGCGGGATGACTACAGTAGATTGAGGAATCTAACCTTGCAGTATTTGCTGGGTACAGCATGATATAGATGACTTCTCCCCCTCCTCCCCGCCCCCCCATTGTTCTTTGAAGGCATTTAGAAATAAGCTAGTGCTGAGAATATGTTATGGTTTTTTGCTTATACAAAATACATATTTACAGCTTTTCTATAGAAAGTAATAACATTATCTAAGTGGTTTCAAAATAAACCTACAATGCCTGCTCTCAAGGAAAAAGGTTTACCTAAGGAAATTCTCTTTGTGGGTCTTTAAATTGTCCTCTGGGTATTACTGCTATATGACCTATAGCAATTTTTTGTAGGGGTAACAGAGGGTTCCCCTTTTCTGTGTTTGAGGGGAAGTTATCAGACTTTAAAGTTTTTTTTAAATTATTTTTTGATGGGAATGATTTGAGTCTAACTCAAAAAGAGAGGTTAATAGAAACCTTTTAAAACGTAATTGAGTGCTGTTAAAAAAAAGAGAATGATATGACAGATCTTTTAGAAGCCATAAAGAGGAGATCACAGTCTTCAAAGATTTGTATTCAAGTGTTTTCACCAAAATATTCTGCTGCTAGGTTAAAAAAAATACCTAAAGCTAAAGCTCCTTCACCACAATTACTTGTTTTCCACCAAGAAACTCGCCACAAATTAAATTGATAGAAACTGATGTACGTGTTTCTTGTCCCAGGAGAAAGTCTGTAGCTTAGTAATGTATTAAATTTAGAGTGTTTAGAGTGTTTTTCCTGACCTAGGTGATACTATAGGTCTTTTCAAAGAGTGAATTTGCAGATGAACTGGCTGGCAGTTTCATCCTAACATTTAGAAAGGGAAATCTCAGTGTTTAGAAGTTTTGCTGCCACTAAAAAAACTGAAGTAGGTAATCATCCCTCCTAGGATGAGGAATAGGGTTATGATATTTATTTCTGCAGCCTCTTTAGAAGGTAAATGTTGGGTTATTGCTCAACAGATAGTACTTGTATTGTACCCAGACCAGCAGGTACAATGAACAATCAGAATTTCTATTTATTATTGAGCTTTGTTGTTTCTCCTCATACCTGTACACATAGGTACACTGTTTTCAGTAACTCTGAAAATAACTCTGAAAGACATCATTTGGTACCCTCAAGAGTACAGACAGGAGCTGGCATAAAGCTGGCCTCACAATGTAAATAAATTTCAACTATTCCCAAACATCAGCAACTTAAGGACCTGATTTGTCCCACCAGTAACAGTGGACTATCCAAACTGCTTATTAAAAAAGAGTCTAAAAACAGTCTGAATTTGTTTTTACAAATTTGGGACGAAACTTACTTTGGAAGTTTTTCAACAAAATGTTAATGTTTCTCTTTCATCTTTGACTGTAACTCTCCATTCTCCTGCCTTACTCTTCATACCCACATCGTCTTGTGCTTCTTTCATCTACTTCCAAATATTATCATCTGACAAAAAAAAAAAAAAAAGAATAAAGGTCACAACACAGTCACATATCAATGTGATTTTTGGGAAGGATGCTAGATAAATCATTGTCTTCACACTTCAGGTTGCACTGTCAGAACCTCTTGACTTCTCCAACATCAGTTGCAGGGGTAGGAGTGGATGCTGACTGCCATGCTTTATGGGCAGCCACAGGGAAGGGACTTCAGCTCTGCCAGGGACAGTGGTTTTGGCTATTCAGCCCACATACATCTACATGCCCAGCACCAACAGGTCTTAACTTAGCAATGCTGTGAAGGAACCTCTTTCCTACAACTTCCTCCCTTTCCCTGTATGAAGTGAGTCTCACTCTTGGTGCTTTAAGGAAAAAAGCCATCAAAGTCTGACTCTCTGCAAATAATTGTTAGGTGGGATTCAATGTTAGGAGGCCATTCATACCTTTCCAGAAAATAAATCCACAATGCAGAAAAGACAAGGCAAATGCTTTTCAGGGTTTGTTCTGCTGCATAAATTTCTACTGAAAAACATCTTTCCATTGCTAATGTGGTGATAACTTGACATTCATGTAACGTGTTGCATATTGAATAGATGTGGGTGATTTTTAAAAGCAGTTTTCAAGATTCCCCTGGAAAAAAATGAAGCTGTTTGTTAGAAATTATTTAGTCTGTTCACTTTCCTTAAGGCATTTGCTGTGGAAATAGGAGAAATTTTTTAGTTCTTTGGGAATTAAAATGTGTTGTTGAGACATTATCTTTATTGTCTTAGTCATAATTATATCCTTAAAACACATATCTGAGCTATATCTGGTCAGATAAAGGCTTTGACTTATAATACCCAAGATGTAGATGTATTTTAGGGCCTCCAAGTAGTTAATATGGTTCTGACCCTAACTATTCCCCGTTTTAAGAGAGAATGCGTAACCAAAAAGTCCAGATGTGATGCCAACAATTTCATAATTATTTAGGTATAGAACAGATACCTTAAATTAAAGATTTGTGGGAGCTTCACTGAGCCCTCCCATCCTCTACCATTTTTTAAAAATTGTGCCAAAATTCAAGTTTCAGTGAAAAGTGTTATTTGACATTTTAATCTTTGATATGTTTTGACTGGTTAGCATACATATCTTGGCAGGTCTAGGTATCCCAGTCCTACAACCTCACTGCACTAACTTGCATCATTTGTTACCCAAAAAGTAATAGCAGGACAGTATTTTTGATCACAAAACTAAATTGAAAGAACATTTGTGCAGGGAGTCTGGGTTTTTTTGACTAAAGACTTCGAGAAGTTTCAGCTTTACAAAAGAAGGATGGATGCTTCATGGTCCACCTGTTCTTTCCAAGTATTGCTTGAGGATGTGCATACTCTCACAGCGGTACGTGTTGCAGATCGCACTCAGGCCCTTGGGTCAATCTGTGCATGTTGGTTACTCCCCACTCTGCTCTCACTTGGCATCCTGAAGAGCAAAATGTGCCTGTGATGGGTCTGTGCACGCCCCACAATATTTCCACCTCCTGCACCTGGCATGTGCCCTGTGCTCAGCTCTCGGCAGCCCCACGTGAACCCTGTAATCATGCCAAGGGCACAGCTGCATCTGCTGCACACCAGCACAGACTGTTTAGCACATGTGGCAGCAAGGCATTGCCTGCTAGCGCTTCCCCAGCACTTCTGCCATCTTTGTCACCTCATGCCTGGTACATGCTGCTGTGTCTGCTGGTGAGGCCTCTGCCTTCCTGGAGGTGCCGGTGCTCCCCCAGCTCTGCTTCCCGGGGACAGTGCTGCTGCTGAGCTGACCTGGACCAAGAAGGACATGGAGCCTGCAAGCGTCATACTCTGCTATGGGACCTTGCATGATGGGCTGTGGGTGCAAAGCTTTTGTACGTCTCTGGCTAATTTTACAGCCCACCTGCCACCCAGCACGTGCATTCCTGTGAAAATCCATTTTATCTGAAAAGAGGGCAATTGTGCAATGCCTTTGACACACCTCTGGCTGAGGAGTGATTTCTTGTCACCCCAGCATGACATACAAGCTGCATTGCGTACTCTTTATGAAAGTTAAAAATAAGTGTGGAGTGACATGCGGCACCAGATAGCGTGCCTCCAGCTGCCAGTTTGAATTCAGCCCTGTTGACTATAATGCAAGCTTGGCACCTAGCTCACATGTAAACACCTATATTTAGCTACCTAACATCAGGTGTCAAACCCACCTGTTTGGGGTGGGAATCAGTTACCTGAACATAGACATTTAGTGCCATTTCAAGGGCCATGGACTTGAAATGCCCTAGGACATTTGAGACATCTGAGCCATCTGATATCTCAAATTACATTAGTTGCTTATATTTAGGTATCATTCTCTGTCTCCAGCCCAAAGTCTGAGAAATGAGGGGCACAAATCCTTTCTTGTCCATCCCACCGGTCTCTCGGACAAACTGCAGTCTCTTGGAGTTCATCACAAGGTTAAAATAAAGCACACACATAAAATCTAAGAGGTATCACAGTAACTGAAAAGAGTTGTAAAGATGGAGAGAATTAACACACAGGATCAAGAAAACCTTAAGTTTCATTTTTAGGCGTGAGAAAGGACAAAATTCTGATACAGAATAATGCCTTTGGGGATAAAGAACTTTTACGACTTAAAACAAAAGTTTCGACAAGATCACAATGACAAATACACTGGGGAAGAAATTTATATTAAAGTCATAAATAAGACTCTCTAACTGCTAGAAGTGACAGACAAGAAAAAGCTGCAACTGCAAGGCTTTATAGTCAGAGTAGTTTTCTGTACTTGGGGAATGTAGAATATTTTCAGTGTAAACAAAGAAAAATGGATTCAAATTCTGGGAAAAAGAATTCTTGGTGAGCTACAGGACTCAAAATTATACATGAAAAAGGTAGCTTAACAATATCATAGATCCATACAAGATATCTCACTTGTTTAAAATCCTGCTGCGGTTAATTTCTAGCTCCCCATCATTTGAGGTTAATCTTCATTTATGTATACAACTCCAGTAATGGTCAAAAAAAAGAAAGAAGAGACCTCTCATAGTTACTAAGAGAGAATACAAACTTATGCCTGAATCCAGGAATGGTACCCAGGCATTATAGGTAAGTTCCTACTTTCAGTGGGACAATGAAAATTATTGTATAGACTAGTGATCAGTATACTTACCTCCCCGGGGGAGAGCCTAAATACTGCTGTAGTTTTACTTCTGTATACTTTTCATCAAACCTGGCAGCCTTGTACCCCTTTTTCTAGTGGGATGCCCTAATTCACCAGGAACAAGGATTTCATCCTCATTCTCTGAACTACTGCATATTGACTTCTTCCAGGCAAGTGGAACAAGACCCAGAGGAAATATGGATATTCCCACCCTGCCCCATGCCATTGTCTGTGGTGGCCTCAGATGCGAGTCAAATTTCTCTCGCAGATGTCCAATGGCAGGGGTAATCACAAAAGTGCTGAACAAGTGCGGGTGATGGCAACTACGGGGTCTGCATCTATTCTTTCCTTGCTGCATTTTTTGTGGAGCCAAATCAGTCAAGCATTCCCCAGGCAAGCTTGCTCACATGCAGTGCGCCTCATGCAGAGGTCTAGTGGGGTGGGTTTAAGAAGATGGCATTAGCTGTTGGCACTTCGGGGCAGAAGGCTTCCAGGAACCTGCTGTCTCTAATCCAGGATAAGACAACAGCTGACCAGCCGTTTTGAGACTCTAAATTGTAGACGCATTTGTAAACCCCTTTGTGATTGCAGTTCCTGGACTCCTTCCTTAGAGGAAAAAAATAGATTCTGCGTGAAACAGTAGTTTTGTCTAAATGCAAAGTGCCAGATTCACAAGTGGTGTCAGCTGGCCCAGCTCCACTGCATGCAAGAGCATTGCACTTAACCAGCCAACATGTGCACTCAGAAATGTTGGGAGAGGAGAATGTCTCACCCTCTGGTCTTTGCAGTAATTTGTATGGCCGTACTTTTAGATGTTTTCAGAGAAGACCATGCCTGTTGTAAAGGAGCAAAATCATTCCACAGAAGACGAAAACAGACAAAATAGTCAATCAAACCTCAGAAGTGCATTGTGCCAAGATGCTGCCCAAAACTGCAATTAGAGTTAAGCAGGGTTTTTTTAAACAGGCAGATGTTCAAACAATAATACATTGACAGCAGGCCATGGCAGTGCACAATCAGCCACTAACTTTGTACCTGTAATTTAGAAGAGTGGCTGATGTATGAAACAGAAACAGTTAATTTCCAAGGGAGATATGCAGAGAAAATCAAACCCTTTCTAGCTGTGAGCAGATCCAGCGCAGGCAGCCGTACCAGCGCGTAGGACATGGTGTCTGGGAGCCATCTGTGCCCGGGGCTCCCAGCTGGCACTGCCTACGGCGCAGCCGCGTGCACAGCCCCAGCCCTCGCGGCAGCCCCACAGTACAGCAACAGCTCTGGACTGGCACGTGCTAGGGAGGGTTCTGGCCTGAGGGACCTCGGAGGACATCGGTGGGTGCTGTAATTGCTGAACATCACTGCCGAGGAAGCTGGGAGGGTGCTTGCAGACCATGAAATTCACAGTGGTAAAGGGTATCAGGCTGGAAAGTTCTTATTTAGTGGTTAGACTCATGGTAGGGAGGTTTTTCTCTACTAATAGGTGGTGTGGAGAGGTAGAATAGCTTCTGCTTCTCATGTTGTTCGATGCCTGTTTTTCTGCAAAAGCCAGAGGAGGATTTTGGTTGCAGTGGAGGGGTGCTGTATGGGAGAAGTGTTTGTGGGTCGGCGTGGGAGAACAGACATACAAGTGAGCACTCCTCTGAAGAAACACTCCCAGCCTGAAAAGGAAGAGTTGTTTTACTGAGGGCACAAAAAAGCATCGATAAAAAATTAAATATTAATGTCTTCAGGGTAAGAACTGAAGCATATAGTTTGCCCAGCGAAGTTGTGAATGCCCCATCATTGGACATGTTCAAGGTCACATTGGATGGGGTTTTGAGCAACCTGATCTAGTTGAAGATGTCCCTGCCCCTGGTAGGGGGGTTGGACTAGATCATCTTTAAAGGTCCCTTCCAACCCAAACCATTCTATGACTCCATATTTCAAGTCAGCATGCTTAGCCCTCCATCAAGAAAAGCTTTATGGAGAGGCAAACTGTGACGCTGAGTGATGGAAATTATATGACTGTCCTTCAGAAGTAGGAGCTGGTTTATATTCTCTGCTAAGATGCTAAGGCAGGGGCGTGGGTCATTCAGGTCAGAATTGGAGGAGACAGCAGGCAACAAACATATTCTTTTTCTGTTCATACACTGGGAACATATTCTTTCAACAACATCATTTGGTAGCTCAAAATTTAATTTTATTTCCATTTTGCTGTGTTAGACAAGTAAGTCTATTGAAATATCATTTTTAAGGGACAGTACAAAGAGGGAGCAGATTCCTGTCAATGCTTAAACAGCTAAGAGACTAAATTTCTACTAAAAATCAGCCCTTTCTTTATACATGTGTTTCTTCATAGATGTCAGTCTGGGGGCTGAAATTACTCATGTTTTGAACTTTCTGAAAGTGATAATTTTAGGAAAGTCTGAGCAATAGTAACTGAAAAAATCAGGAAAGCTAAAATTTTTTACAGTCTGTGTAGTGTAGTACCATGTTCATTTCACACATTGTGTTACACAAACAATAGTGTAGCTATTGATTTTGCATAATTTCACCTTGATTTTGTCCTCTGCTGTTTCTTATCTTGTCTGTGTCTCCACATGAAGGTGAAACTTAGGAGAAACAGGTTTCAACACGCTAACAAATAAAAAGAAGTGAAAAAGATTGAACAAAGGCTGACAGCTGAAGGCTGCAGTTTGAAAGGTATGTGGCATTAACCATATCACATATTAAATGATAAATTTGGATTTAGATGCAAGACAAAACACCTCAAGACTGTTGTGGAGTTCCCCAAATTAACCTTTAGATTTTCTCAAGGAAAGGATCCTACCTGTCCAGAATGACATGCATTAGGAGTGGACACCTAAGCCCAGCAAGACATGCAAAATGAGTGACCCAGGATAGCAAAGTATATGAGAGCTCAAAATAAAATTCCACAAGGAAATAACACAAAAAGCTGCATATCCTTTGCCAAACAGCACTGCCAATGCCAAGCATATGGAAAAAGATACAAAACCTTGGACGCACACCTCTGTGGTGTGTATGCACAGGAAGAACAACTAACGCCACTGTACTGCTGGCTCAAACAAGCCTTATAGGAAAATGATGCAGCAGATGACAAATGGACAGTCAGCCTGAGAGCTAACGGGACACATTACTCGTAACACGGTCAGAGGAGCAGAAGCCAAAGTGGTGCTAAAAGCAAATGTGTTTGCTCCAAGGGAAAAAAACAGCAACAACCTTATGGACAGAAGAAAACAGACTGCCATAATCCAATGCTTATAATCAGGGAAGGACCACAGAGCTCAGTGTTGGTGTCCCTCATGTGCCTTGGGACAAGGACCCGTGAGCCAGGGAAGCCCCTGATGGGTGGCAGCCCAGCCTGATGCACACACCTAAGCATGGCCCCCTTGGGCTCTGGCTTCCCCTGTGCTGCAGACTCTTGCCAGTGGGGCCTTTTGCTGCTGGGCATCACTGCCCTTCCCCAGGAACGGCCTGTTCCGCTTCCCGCTGAGCTCGCTCACCGGCCAGCCGTGGACCACGGCTTCTTGGCTTCGCTGCCCATCTCTTCTTGCCACAGGCTGCTCTCCCCCTGCAACTCTGCAGCTCACTGAGCAACTGCCCCTTCACCATGCCTTTGCAGCAGATTTTCTAATTGCTTCTCTGGTCTCAACTTTGTGTACGTGCGTGTGTGAAAAAGTAAAAGGAAGGGTATGGTACTAATATATTTTCATTAACTTTTTCCAGGTTTTTCCCGTGTGAGGTGTTTACACTCCATTTTACAGAGTATGGAAAAGACATAATAGTACTGAGGGAAAAGACCACATTAGAAATGTACCAAACCCCTTGGTTTCATCCAGCAGATGCATTCACTGGAGATGGCAGGGGAACCAGCTGTGTCAAACATGTTCCAAGGTTATATTCAGAGGAAGAAGAAGTTCACACCTATGTTCTATGTGCTACACTTGAAAAATCCCAGCGATCTCACAAAACCCCCTAAGTCCAGGGCAAGAATATAGGGAAGTATGCTTTTTGTCCCAGAATCATACAGCAACGAGGAGAACCAACAAATGTACAGGCATGCGCAATTCAGCGCAGAAAAAGGACCCTTCATTTAGATGTTGACTCCAAGAAGCTAAATAGTTACAGTAAAATGGAACATTTTCTGTTACCTAGAAAGGAGAGGAATATTTAGAGAAATGGTAAATACAAGTGATTTTTTCTGTGCTTAATGAACCAAGAGGCTGTAGTAAATTTGCATCCCAGTAAAGACAAAACACTCATTCTGGCCCTTAAAAAAAGGAAGAAATTAAAGGGGTCAATGAGATTTCAGTCATGAGTTGCTATGCTGATAAATGCAAAACAAGTTTGTTCACTTGATGGCTCTAAGAAAAGCATTGCACAATCCTTTACAATGGTGTGGTTAAAACTTAAAAACCCCAATAGAATAATCATCATAGGAATGAACAAAAACCAAGCTTTCAATAAACTCAAATAAAGAATGTGGCTTTGGTCTCAGTCCACGGGTGAAAAATGTTTCATGTTTTTTATTTATGAGAGGCCACTATTAGCTGACACTGACCATAAACCACTTGTTGACAGTGCCAAAAGGGGCCTGGCAAACCGTTCTGCTGCCGCTAAGAATAGAGCTTGTTTTTTCAGCTACAGATGTATGATTTGCAAATTGAACACCAAGTGGGGAAAGAATTAGTGGTTGCAGATGCACTCAGAGCATTTTGACAGTGCAATGGACCTAAGTCAAGAGGTATGTTATGTACTGTGAATCTGATTAAAAATGTGGTCTGGTTTCAGGTGAAAATGAGGACTATTATTCCTGGCACTATTGTTAGGAACAAGACGCTACAAAAAATAGTTCTGGAGAACCAGTACAGTGTATTCCTAGACCCCATTGTAAGGGAAGGCTTTCAGTATTGTTGAGATTTTAGTTGAAAGCACCAAGATAATGATTGCTAAGCTATTATAGAAAAAAATTGCTTGAAAGGATAGGTATAAGGATGATTTACAGAAAAGACTTTAATGTTGACCTAAAAAGAACAATTGCTTTCATTAAGGCTGTTTGGCTTACAAAAAGTACAAAGACATAGATAGCAAGTTGTCTGAAAGAGCCAATGCTTGTGATGTAGGCAGACTTGGTCCATTAAGCAATTACAGGTAGAGATTTTTTTACATTATATATATTTGTTTATGATGAGGCTTTTTTTATAGTTGTTCTGCCTTCCTTGAGATTACAATACTAGACAGTAACCATGCTTAACAAATGACCATATACATTTATTTTTGTGGAATATAGTATTCCTGGCCTGACTACAGCATGCTTTTCAGTAGGCATGAGTTTGCAGTGAATTTTGAATTTAAAAGTATAATAACTAGCTCCAGTTACCTCTAGCCTAAGTAGTTGGAATAAGTTAGTGACAAAATATACAAAAATATAGTACTTACCTAAAAAGATACTGAGATTGACATGCATCTGTACTTAATACTATTCAGTTGAAGTAAGAATATCACTAAGGAAGTATAAGACTTTTTTTTTTCCCTGCAGAAAATTGAAACAAGATACCTTCACTGCTATACACTGATATCAGGCACGGAAATTTCTGGAAACAAGCAAAAAAACCAATATAAAATTTCATATGTCTTAGAACGCAATTCCTTCAAATGGCATTGCAATAGCATTAGGGGAGCAAGAACTAGCTCTGTCTTTTGATGAAATGGTTACTCAGGGTGGGTAAATATGATAAAGAAACAGATAAAGCATCTCAATTTACCACCAAAAGAATGGCCACAAGTTACCTACTGTGGAGAAGGTGGCTGCAGGCAGGCCACAAATACAGCAGGATGAGATAGCTGAACCAAAGCACAACAAAGCCAGAAAGAGTCAACGTACCACTGCCTAACAAAACTGGGGTATTGCTGTGGGAGAGCCATAGGTCTAACAAAATTGTAAATCGCAGGTAAATTTTAATGTAGATGAATGTAAAACACATGGAGAAAAATAACTCTAACTAGACATACTCACTGAAACGCTCTAAATCAGTTATTACATCTCAGGAAACAGATTGTGGAAGCGTTGTGGATCATTCTAGGAAGATGTCTGCTCGGTACTTAAAACAAAACATTACAAATTATTAGAAAAGGGAAAGAATCAAAGAAAAGAAAAGAGAAAAGAAAAAATACAATGCTACTGTCTGTCCACATCCTGAGCATTATGTACAGTCCTCTCCTCCCAGCCCATGGACACGTCTAGTAGAATAAGGACCCTGGAAGGCCACAGAGGAAGGTGGCAAGGATGAGTAGAAGTATAAAACAACTGCTTATAAGTAGATAGATTAGCATTCTTTAGCACAGAAAAAGATTACTTAGGTGAATATTTTAAGAGTGTATGAAATCATTAGCACCATGAAGAACATGAAAAGGAAGTGATTATTCACTAGTCACAACACAGGAATAAAGAAATGAACCTAAGCAGCAACTTTAAAGCAAAAGATGTAGTCAAAAACATAAGTGTTGTGGAATGATTGCTGCAGGACGTTAGGGAATCTGGAGAGATAAGTTGGTTCAAATTTACTTCGATAAATACATGGGTGAAGAGACTACTAAGAACCATTAAAGACACAGGTAAAAACACCGCCAACTGCCAGGTTGCAGGAAGTTGGGGCAGCAAAGGTACAGCAAGGGAAGCATGACCTTATGATAGCCTTTTCTCACCATCTGTCATTGAGAACACAGACAGGACTATGGACTATATATACACCTTACTTTGGCCTGAGCATAACTCCACACAGGTCCTGAGTAGTGGTAGTGTCCAGGACCTACACTTTAGAATATATGGAGAAAACTCCACAAAATCCGTGAAGACCCAAAAGACCACAAGCAAGAGGTTTCTGAGAATATTTTAAGGGGGAACAGAAAGACAGACCTGTAATGAAAGCAAGCTCCACCTATTTTGTAGTCTGTGAAGTGTTTATTGAAATGTCAGATTCAGAGAGAAAAAAGTCATAGAATCACAGAATCATGGACCATTTGAGGCTGGATGGCACCTCTGGACATCATCTAGTCCCTGCTCACAGCAGGGTCAGCTACAGCCTGTTGCCAGGGACTGTGTCCAGTTGGGTTTTGAACATCTCCACAGATGGAGACCTCACAATCTTTCTAGGCAATGTGTTCCAGTGCTCGATAACCCTCACAGTAGAGTGTTTTTTTCTTATTTTTAAGTGGAATTTCCCTTATTTTCTTTTGTGCCCATTGCATCTTGTCCTGTCACTGAATACCACTAAGAGTCTGGCTCCATCTTTACTACTTCCCATCAGGTATTTATATACATTGGTAAGATGCAACTGAGCCTTCTCTTCTCCAGGCTGAACAGTCCCAGCTCTCTCAGGCTCTCCTCATACTGTCTCAATCTCTTCATTGTCTTTGTGGCCTTTTTCTGGACTTGCTCCAGTATGTCCATGTCTCTGTTGTACAGGGAAGCCCAGACTTCAGTTCAGCACTCTGGATGTGTCTCACCAGAGCTGAGTAGAGGGGAAGGATCACCTCCCTCAACCTGATGGCAATCTCCCCACCATGAAGCCCAGGATGGTTTTGGCCTTCTTTGCTGCAAGGGTGCATTGCTGGCTCATGTTCAACTTGGTGTCCACCAAGACCCCCAGTGCCTTTTCTGCCAAGCTGTTTTCCAACCATTGGCACCCAGCATGGAGGTATATCCCCACTGGCACATGGGGTTATTCCTCCCCAGGGGCAGGACTTGGCATTTCCCTTTGCTGAACTTCATGAGATAACCATTGGCCCTATTTTGCAGCCTGCCAAGGTCCTTCTGAATGGTGACACACCATTTGATGTATCAGCCACTCCTCCCAGTTTTGTATCATCTGCAAACTTGCTGAGGATGTACTCTGCTCCAGATCATTAATGAAGATGTTAAACAGCACTGGCCCCAGTATTGACCCCTGAGGTGCATCCCTAGTGACGGGCCTCCAGCTGGGCTTTATGCCACAGACAGATCATAACCTTTTCAGCCCAGCACTTCAGCCACAGTACCTCACTGTCCACCTATGTAATCTATACTTCCTCAGTTTGTCTATGAGGATGTTATGAGAGGTAGTGTCAAAAACCTTACCAGAGGCAAGATAAACAACATCTGTTGCTCTCCCTTCATCCACTGAGCCAGTCATCTCATCATAGCAGGCTGTCAGATTGGTCAGGAATGATTTCCCCTTGGTAAATTCATACTGACTGTCCCAAACCACCGTCTTGCCCTGGATGCTTAGATATGATTTCCAGGATTAGTTGCTCCAGGATATTCCCATGGGAGTTGCTCCAGGATATTCTCATGGGTCAAGCTGAGGCTGGCAGGCCTGTAGTTCCTGAGATCCTCCTTCTTGCCCTTCTTGATGACAGAAGTGGCATTTGCTTTCATCCAGTCCTCAGGAACCTCCCCTGATCACCATGACCTTTCAAAGGTAATCTAGAGTGGTCTCACAATGACACCAGCCAGCTCCTTCAGCACTCATGGGCACATCCTGTCAGTTCCTATGGACTTGTGCATGTCCAGTTTGTTTAAATGCCTCCTAATGTGATCATCTTCCACCATAGGTAAGTCTCCATTGCTCCAGAATTTCCCACTCACCTCAGGAGCCTGGGATACCTGAAGGCTGTTCTTACCACTAAAGACAGAGGGCAAGTGTCATTGAGTACTTCAGCCTTTTCTGTGTCCTTTGTCACCAGGCCACCTGCCCCATTCAACAGTGGGCCCACATTTTCACTTGTCTTCCTTTTGCTGCTGTTGTACCTGCTGAAGCTTTTTTTGTTGCCCTTTACATCCCTGTCTAGATTCAAGTCCATGTGAATTTTGG